TAAGAAATGTTTATTATATCGATCTGTTATGTACATCTTGAGTATTTCCATAATCTTTGAGTCGAATCTGTTAAAGTCATCAGAAATTATGACTGTTATTCATTTTAAAATAACGCCTGTAATACTTCGCAATTGCTCGAATTCGAGCAACAGGTACACTAGTTGTATTTAAACCAATAATTAAATTTAATACATTGACATTACTATGAAAATGGATAGTATCGTACATTCATGGTTTTCTAACAACAGTTAGAGTCCATACATTATTAAAACCTGTATTCCTAACAGTATTGTTGTAAGAAAGACAGTTAAGATGACTTTACCTATGTTATTTACTAAGATAAGGCATAGCCACGATAAAGAGGGTTTTAAAATTAAGTTAACTAGTTTTAGGAATCTATATATTTAATATGCGACATGAAACTTTGAACTTTGAACAATAAGGCTTTTTTGTTTTAAGATTTAACCACACATATTATATACCAAAATGTTTGTCTAGGTGTGTAGATGTCCAAACTGGCTTTAGATTTTCGAAATATATCTTTTTAAGGGCGTGGGCTGCCCTCAAAGTTCCTTCCATAAGGATAACATTGTGATTGATTTGAATGTTATTATGTTCTGAAACAGATGTCAATACATTAGTTTTTAAAGAAAATTAAATCCCAGCTGTTTTGTTTGGTTTTGAAATGTAAACAGTTTGCATGTTTAAATAATTAGAAACCCGGCAAAGAAATGTTACCTATAAGACATGACGGGAGAAATGTTTTACATTATATTTTCGTTTAAACATGCCAAAGACCACAGCCACCTCTAATACAAGGCCGCGGCGAGCGAAAAGTGGCAACGTCGCATCCGTGTCTTGGTGCGCGGTCGACTTACCATTACAGTGAATGGAGGAGTCGCGTACCGACGTACATAATCGCGTTTCTAATACCCTTAATAATTAGTAATGCCATTGAACTTGTTCCTACAGCATGCCAGATAGATGTGACATGGCTAGATGCAAGAATAATTACGAAAGCTCAATTAAAAATGAATAATACATACAGTGTTCTAAGACTCTATGTGATCTGCCGCGTAAGCAACAATAGCTTCCTGCTATTCATCGGTCAAATTAGACATCTTAAAACAATTCTCGTTTTTGTGTGAAACATTTTCACGAATATGAACTTAGATTTGTAAAAAAAATGTTAGAATAAGACAATGATTCATGTAAATATAGACACGAGAAGCGAGTTTTATGTGGTAATGCCGTACTATTTCCTTATTTATTTGTCTATCTTATTGATAAAAGCTGTTGTTAAGTGATTAAAAAATAACTTAAATAACTAGCACTTCAAAGAAATAAACCGGTGTTTCTGTTAAGTTTAATTAGGCCTACTAGTAAAAAAATATGTACTACACCATCTAACAATAAAAGCATCATAGTCTCCGACTCCAGTCTGAATGTTGATGTGATAAAAAAGATCTATTAATATTGTGGAAAGCCATATGGAGGCCTAGCTTCTAAAATCGTTTACAAAATGGCAAACGTTTTGCTTATTAATTATTCAAAGAAAATAAATTATTTAGTCAGTATGCCTTCAAAATGAAAACTTAAAATGTTGTTGTCGCTAACTTATGGTTTCTTCAGGTAGACTAAAACATAATATTTATATTTAAATTTAAAATTATTTTATTTGAACAAAATTGTTTGATATTAGTCTCTACAAATCCCAAAATCCCTACAAATATTGAAGTGGCAATATAGTCCTACTCAACTGTATTACCATTCTTGGTATAGTAGCTATAATTTGTAAAATTTAAGCCCAGTCTGTCTAGTAGTTTTTACTATGTTGAATAACACACATGTATACAGACACCATGAGATTGTTATATAATAGTATAGATTATCAAACTAACAAAGGAAATCTATTTCCACATTCATCGTACTTACAATACGATAAATGCAACCAAAAACATTATGTTTGTTGAGCGGAGCGAAGCGAAGCTTTTATACTACACTCCTGCTTTTGTTTTACAAATACTCCTCCTGAACAGCTGAAGCGATCTGCACCAAATTTATCACAATCGTAGTAACCAACCATGGGAAGGTATAAATCTGAAATGGTACAAATCGGACCACAGGGCTTTTCCCTACGTGAATTAAAAATTTTGGAAATTTAACATGGGCCTTATGGGTAAATTGGTTGCCATGGCATTATTTGCGAGATAATAAAAAGGGAAACAAGAGTCGCAACATATGTTAGTCAACGAATCATCGAAATAGTGCATTACAAATACCGTACAGAGAAAAAGAAAAGAACGATAGGATTAATATCATTGAGCATAATTTATTACAAAATGAATAACCAATAATTAGTGTCGCAGGAATAAGGCTGATGCACCATTAACTTAAATCCAAATAGCCATTGGACCTGCAAGTAGACAATTCATTTATGTGAACCAAAGTGCCATTGAGTTTAAATACTGCAAATATACATTCCATTTAAGTAAACCCGAAGTAAGCCTACCATTGGCTTTGGATACTGCAAACAGGCATCTTATTTGTGTGAACCAAATGGACCATTGACTTTGGATACTGCAAGTAGATTTCTTATTTATGTGAAGCAGGTGTATCATTGATTTATGATACTGGAAGAAAACAATTTACGTGAACCAAATGTACTATTAAGTTTAGATACTGCAAGTACACAATTCGTTTACGTGAAACAGACGTACCACTGACTTTGGAACCTGTAAATAGACATTCCACTTAAGTGAACCAGGCGTACCATTGACTTTGGATGCTGCAAATATGCATTTTATTTATGTGAACCAAATGTATCATTGACATTGGATAATGCAAGTAGACATTTAATATATGAGAACCAGATGAAATGTAGACTTTGGTTCCTGTAAGTAGACAGTTCATTTACGTGAACCAGGCTTATAATTGACTTTGAATACTGCAAATAAATAGATTATTGACATTGGATACTGCAAGTATTTAATCTCATTTACCGTACGAGAAACAGATGTATCATTGACTTTAGAAAAGTATTGGATTAATATGCTAGCTCCGCTCAATAATGCAAGCAGACAACTGCATTGTACACCTAGTATATTTTTAGTTGAAGACATATTGTGGTACCTATGTTGCAATTCATTTTTCACTAAATAAACAACCTAGATTCTAATTTGTCTTTTTTACCACATTCAAACTAAAATATGTAATTTAAATACTTTCATTCATTGATACAGAGCAGCATTACTCTCATTGATGTTATAGCCTAGCACGAGTGCCGGACCCAGGCGGCGGGTGAGTGCGGCGTTGCCAGTTCGAACGTCGCGGCCTTGTATCAGAGGTGGCTGTGCAAAGACCCAACGACAAAGAAATATTGCCGGTCGGATACGGCGAGTCAACATACGGCAAGCAATGCAAAACGTAAGGAGCCCAGTCGAGGAGCTGGAACAGTTAGTGGCAACGTGTTTACAAAATTACACTGACAAATACAAGAATTCAGCAGCATTCACTTGGCGAGATGGCATTAAAATGTCAGAAATGTGGTGCGCTACATTTTAAAGAACAAAGAGGACGAGGCAAAGGATTTTCATCCTGCTGCCAGAAAGGAAAAGTGAATCTACCACCATACCGAGAAATCTATTATATCCAGAGCCTACTTAATGGAGACATCATTTGAGCAGAAACTACAAAGAGAACATTAGATCGTACAACTCTGCGCTCGCAATGGTCAGCACTCGAGCTAAAATTGAAAAACATAACGGTGGAGGGCCTTTCATGTATAAGGTGCACGACACAATTTATCACTCAATGGCAACTTTCAACCGTCAGAAGGGGAGCATCCCACATGTGCCCAAATTGATATCTACTGACGTCGAAACCGCTGTTCAAGAAAGAATGCTAAACAAAGCTAATGGCTCTTGCAGCACTGAACTGATGCACATTTTGACTCAACATTTGGTTGATATTAATCCATAAGCGCAAGTTTTTAGCATGATGAGCTCCGTCCTGCAAAATAATTCTACTGAACAGAAAAAAGAACTTAAGAATGCATATAGCCAACGATCGAGCTCAAGACCAACGTCGATTCATCGACGTAGCTTCTAACGACGTTGCTATAGTATCCTAATTTATTATTTGTGCGAATTCGCACGGGTTCACTTAGTATAAATATTATGTTTGAAACAACAATTTGATAAGATAGTTCAATAACTACTGGTACATTAATTATAAAGACAAACCAGTAGTCAACCATGCCTCATCCCACTCCAAATCTGATTTCAATAGCTGCTTCTCTTCAAAAGTATTAAAACAAATGCCTCCAAACTGCAACCCCTCAGAACTAAGAAGATGGGACCTAAGCTACCAATGATTTACCCACTCTAGAAACCCACCAAGGTGTAATAGATTCAAATTGCAACTGCCATTGCCATTTCTCCAATCTCCAGTGGTTGAAAAAGTGGTCAGTGACCACCAAAATTTCTACTTTTACTTTTGTGATGTTTTATGTGTCTCTATGGACTTATTTAAAGGTAAGCTTGCTTTCCTGTCAATTTCCTTAACAATTCCTATCAGATAATTTTATTTAGTATTTTTTTTTTAATTTAACAATTTTTTAAGGTGAACAATCCATTACAGAAACAAATGTTTTAAATAATTTTGAAAGAAAATCATGCCCTGCTGCATCAATTCAAATCACATCGATTTGAATCAAAATTCTTTGAATCGCATCGATGCATCAAATCGAAAAAAATGCTGCATCGCACACCCTTACTTTTAGACCAAAATCTCAACATCCAATTTCAAAATTTTCCTTTGTCTTTTAACTGACCAATATAGTCCATGTATTATTATGGTAAAAACTAACAAGTTAAATCATTTAGAGCATCGGTTTGGGGGAGGATGGGGATTGTTTTTCACTGATTACACCGTACCATCCCTCATTTCTGACGCTCGGGCAAAATTTTGTTGGTGTATTCTATCTGTTTGTGTTTACCTTCCACTTTTCCATCTGCTCCAGTTGGTTGACTAGTTGTTGCATGATCTCTGGAGGTACCGAGGTTAACTTGCCATCCAAGATGACAGCTTCCAGTGCCTGCAGGTAGATGGCTCTGGCACCTGGGTCACAGTACAACCCATCCCACACTTTGTTGAACAAAATGTCCCTTTGGTTCAGCTGAACACATTGGCTGATAATGACAGGTAGAGCCTCGTGGTAGCTTATACTGTCCCCAGACTCTAGAGTCTTGTCTATGTAGGTATTCAATGTGTCAAGGACCTTCAGAGAAAAACACAAAATTATTCAAGAGAATATTGCAGATATTTTCTATCACCATAAGTAAAAAACTAAGTTGTTCATGAGGTTTCAAGATCTGAAATCTTATCCCGTCCTCAGGTGAGATAGTATTTAAAACATTTTAATATTAGTACACAGTACCTGGGGACCGAGCGCTTATAACCATCTTTCTTTGTAAACGCACCCTAACAAGTATTCAAACTATATGGGATAAACCCAGCTGAAGCTGGAAAAAATCAATTAAAACCACCAACAGAAGTTTACCTTGCTGAACAAGAAAAGAAAAATCTTGTCCCAAAATCAGGAAAGAAATTTAAATCCCAAAACCCAGGAAGGAAATAAAAATCCCAAACTGATAGTACAATCCCGTCCATCTCCAAAAGGAACTAAAAAAAAAAATTAATAACAAAATTTAGCTTAACAAAATTTATATACACTACACAAGTTTAACATTGAACACCCATTGTGTGGCTTTAAGTGCAAAATTAATTTTTTTTATTTTGGTTAAAAATGGATATTGTGTTGAAATATAAACAAATTTTGTTGTCAATAGGTCGAATGGTTATTTAGAGTTTCACAGACATATGTTGGGTAACTGCAAAATACATCTTTGTAAGAAGATTCATCTCCCTACCTTCTCCCTGACTATTCGATGTCTGTGTTTCCTTGGTCCTCTTAGTCCTAGAACAGCCTTTCCCTTCTCCTCAAGAAACTCCATCCCGAGCTTTAGAGCTTCAGGGTATCTGCTCTATAGAAACACAAAACCATTGAAAATAATGAGTGGAAATTAGCGTCAGCACAACTCCATTTTTACTTACTAACCGAATAATAAACCGGTCTCTTCTTTAATAACTTACGGATTTATGAAATCAAGTAATGTTGTGACACCGCCATAACAGCTAAGTAATTATTAGCTTAGTTTCAAGATTAAAACTTAAATTAGTGCATAAACTTTAAACATTTATATCTTACTTGGTAAAATCGGTGTGCTCATTAATGCACCATTTTGACATTAAAGTAAAACAGCACAAGCTACTCATCACTCATATAGGACAGCTTAAGTCTTTATTCATTTAAAAAATTGCTGTATAACATGTCTGTTTTAATTTTTTAAATAAGGTTTATTTTAAAACACACCTGATCCAAAAAGTGATTGATTCTCTCTAACCATGTGCGTATACTGATGACATGGAATGATCTGGTGCCCAGCAGTAGCAGCTGGTTACCAAAGCTCTCTACAGAATTGTAGCATGCCCGCTCTCCTGCCAGGGCCTAGACAAAGCATAAGTGTTGTACATTAGACTAATTTCCTTTCTGGTTAGCCATTACACAACCACTTACTGGTACATATTTTATTCGTGCTTTAGCTTTTTTTATGTATTCTTTTCGTGATGGTCATTTGCTGGTTGGATGCTGATTTATATAAGGTTCAGTTTATGTTTGGTTTTTTTTAATCGGTCGTCGGATGTAGGTTTTTCTTCTGAAATCACCTATTTTAATTGAAATTTTCTCTCTATTTATGCAAAAGTAGTACAAACGTGTATTAAACCCATGAAAATCAGAATTTATCACGATAGAATAATTTAAGTAAAATTATTTTTAGTACAATTCAACTAGAAAAGTAAACAATAACAATTAACATATGATAATATAAATATAGAATGACATTGTCAGTAGAGCCAATCATTACATCTCGCTCTTTAAAGGTTGAGTTTCTGGGGAGGTTTTATAAGCCGTCTTGATCTGGATGTTATTTTAGCTGAAGATTTCCCAGACGTGTCTGGAGGAACCATTGAAAAGTTTCTTATGTCTTCATCGATTCGATGATCCATCTGACCACTAGTTGATGGTTGACGTTTTTGGTTAACCGTTGAAAACTTGGTTATGTACGTTCGAACTTGGTTTCTTCGAACTATGGTTCCTTTGTCAGTCAGCACTTTAAAAGATCGTGGTGAGTTTAGCTTTTCCTTCACGTTCCAGATATCCAAACTTTGGTTTCTGGGTTTACATTTGATAAGGGTCGAGCCCCATGTCTTCGATCATAATTTTGTTTGTAGTTTTGTCTATAATGATTCTCCTTCTCTCGGAGATGAGTGAAGTCCGGCTTTTTCTCTAGATGACATGGTAAAGTTGGCAAAATGTCCCGTAGTCTACGTCCATATAATAACCGTGCTGGACTGTAACCATTGTCAAGTGGAGAGTTCCTGTAAGACAACAAAGCTAAATATGGGTTACCTTTGTTCTTCTGTAGAACAGTTTTTACAATTTTGACAGCCACCTCAGCTGAGCCATTACTCTGATGAAACTGAGGACTGCTTGTTTTGCATAAAAAGTTTTACTCTTTGGCAAATTTTCTGAATTCAGCACTAGTGATGCCGAACTGCGTTCCACTATCTGAGTATAAAACTTCAGGAATACCGTGGCGAGAAAACGTTGACTTGCATTTCTCAATAACTTCAGAGGCAGTGAGCGATTGTAGAGTTGCAATCTCAAAATACCTTGAGAACTGATCTGTTATAACAATGAACCATTTGCCATCGAGCTTGAACAAATCCATTGCTGCCTTTTCCCAAGGACGTTTTGGAAACTTGGAAAGAATGAGCGGCTCATTTTGATTTTCTCTGTGTTTGATGCATGTTGGGCATGAAGCTACCATCATATTTATATATGATGCCATTCCTGGCCACCATAAACTGAATCCAGTCTTTTCTCGACATTTGGTGGCTCCTAGATGACCGACGTGTATTCTATGAAGCATTTCTTGACAAAGACTTGATGGTACTATTATTCTTGAATTGCGTAAAAGAAAGTTGTCCATCAGTGATATATCATCTTCAACCAAGAAGTAAGGGACTAGTTTAGATGGAAGTTGTAATTTATCTGGCCATTCAATAAATGACAGTATACTGCAATCTTTCTGAAGATGGGTTTTCAGTTGTGGGTATGTTTTCAACCACATTTTGAACAAAGGCTTCAAATTCTTCTTCCATGTCATATGTTTCCTTGTTTGGAATTGGGCATCTTGAAAGGCAGTCTGCTGGAGCAAGGTGCTTTCCAGGTGTATATGTCACTGAATAGAGAATCTCATCATGCGAAGTCTGTAAGCGAGGTGTAATGTCATCCAAATTCTTAGATGAGAAGATTTTCACAAGTGGCTTGTGACCCGTTTCAATTACAATCTCTCGACCAATTATATAGTCTCTGAGCTTGTCACAAGCCTATGTGATTGCCAGAGCTTCACGTTCAATATTTGAATATGCTTTTTCAGCTTCTGTAAGTGACCTTGAAATTTAAGAAACAGATCTGAATATACCACCATGATGTTTCTGAAGAAGCAATCCGCCGAGACCATAAGAAGAAGCGTCTGCTGACACAAGAGTTGGTAAGCGAGGGCCGTAAAATGCTAGTTGGGGTGCTGAGGTCAGAAGTTTTTATATACTTTCAAACGCATGCTGTTGTTGTTCTCCCCAAAACCATTCATTTTTCTCTTTAAGTAGATCATGGATTGGTTTTAGTATTTTTGATCGATTCGGTATGTGTTTACCACAAAAATTAATCATTCCTAAGAAGCGTGTTACTTCTTTTATATCAGATGGAGGTTTCATCTTAAGAATGGCCTTGACTCTTTCTTGGCTGTTTTGAACCCCTCGGGACGAAAGGTGATGTCCTAAGAATTGTAAGAATTGAATTCTGGCTGAGAAAATACACATTTGTCTTTATTCAATGTAATTCCAGCATTTCTGAGTTTCTGTAAAAACTGCATTTAAGATCAAGTCATGTTCCTCTTGACTGGAACCCCATACAAGTATGTCATCGATGTGAGCTAAACAGTTTCGTTGAGATCCTAAGGTTTCTTGAATTCGTTTCTGGAAATACTAGGGAGCACTTGTGATACCAAATGGAAGAACTTTGAATTTGTATCGGCCCCAAGGAGTTAAAAACATAGTGAGATCTTAAGGTTCTTCTGCAAGAGCTATTTGTCAAAACCCATGGTTGGCATCCAGTTTGGAGAAGACTTTGGCATCTTTTATTCGAGCCATCGTATAATCAATGCGACAAATAGGATGAGTTTGTCGAAACACGTTCTTATTAAGCATAGTAAGGTCCACACATATTCGAACCTGAGTGCTATCTTTCTTAGGCACCACGACCATAGGTGCGCACCAAGAAGTAGCGTGATCAACGGGTGTTATAACGTCCATATTCACCATATTTTCAATCTCCTTCTTTGTTTTATCCCAAAGAGGTACTGGAATCCGTCGAGGAACTGATATCGCATTAGGTTTTGCATCATTTTTAAGTTCTATTTTGTAGCTCCCCTACATTTTCCTAGACTACTGAAAAGGTTAGGAAATTTTTCGATCCAATCATGAGCAGATTTGTTGAAAGTTGTTTTGCATACCTCACGGATAACCGTTTCTATTTTTAGTTTTTCAATTGGCAGTGACTGTGCCAAAACAGAAAGAGGCGATCCTCCAGCCGCACTTAAAGTTCTCTGGGTAGGCTGGACTGCAATTATTTTGCTTAGCTTTATGTTAGATGGTATTACTGTCACGTCAGCTCCTGTGTCAATTTTGAACTTGACAGTGTCTTCATTAAGTCTTACATTTATTGTCCAGGGATCATTCTTTGTTTTACTAGAATCCACACCCCCAATAAATTTTTTCAATGGGTCTAGTTCATTAACGATTTAGGTAAAGTCATCTGAACCATCCAAGTCTATTTCTTGAACATTGTTTTGAATACACAGTGTGAAAAGTGGCCATTTCGCTTGCATCTAGAACATTTGCGATTTTTTGCTGGACACAGACCTCTTCGATGAGAAGGGGTTGAACCACACCAAATACAGGAGTTGGGATAGCTCTTAACATGTTTAGCCTCTGGATCACGTAATTTACTAATAAAAAGGTTAAATACCTGTAGTACTTGTCAGTGATCCTTGGAATTTAGGATTGATGTTTTCAACTTGGTATCAGCTTGAAAATGAACCTTTAGGTTCGAAACCTGGGTCGCTGACCTAAATTCCAAGGATAGCTCTTAACATTTGAGCTTTAGTACATTAATCTCCCTTGATCCCTATTTTCTCTTTTGGATGAATGTATTGCATTATCATATCTAGGATCCTGAAAACTGGATGGTTCACGTTGGTTTTTATTTACAGCTTCGATTGATGGGAGGGTCAATTCCTCTTTTTGTCGCTTCAATTCTTCTGAATTGCGAAGTGAAGTTATTGCAGATTCCAATGTAACTTTATTTTAGTTATAACTTAGTTAGTTATCACCTGAAGCACCTGAATTGACAGGCACTACAATACCTGCTTTATAAAGTCTTATTAAAGTGGTTTTAAATGTATTTAGTTTGAAAAAAGAATCAAAGTGGTTTTAAATGTATTTAGTTTGAAAAAAGAATCAAAGTGTTTTTTAACAGTGCTTAAAAATATTTTAAATAAGTAAGTTTAAAAAAATTGTCTTTAATATAGAAAATATAACTGATTTTAAATTACTGGATAAAGTTAACCTATCTTTTACTTTCAAACAATTTTGAAATATTTTTATTTTTATTTTATTGGACAATGTGTTAAAAAGCTGTTGAAATAAGGCTATTGAAAACTGAATACCTATAAGAGGATTATAGTCCAGTCAAGGAATGAGGTGTAGAGTGTGTGAGCAGGTAACTAAGCGATTCCTTCAGAAACTTGTTCTGGGGGCTTAGGGTGTTAACTTACCAAAAGTCCTGACTCCTAGGTGGTGAGCCACGGGGTGGAGGGGGGGAAAAGGGGGGGGAAAAAGGTACGCATTTTGGGTTTTTTGATTATATCTCGAAAACTATCAACTTTTTGTATACTATAGTAAATTATAAAATTGAAGAAGATTAAATTTTCTACAAGAAAAGTATATAATGTGTTTATTTTGGTTCAACAGATTACGAGTTATAACTTATTTAATTGATATCTTATTAAAATACTCCTTCCATAAGAAATACATGTAAATTAGTATGCGAAATGGGGCGAATCCTATCCGCCCAAAGGAAATATAACTGATATTCTGGAAATCTTGACAAAATTTCCAGTAATTTGACACTTTAATCATTAAAATTGATCCAAAATTAAGGCGAGGGCGAGGTAACAAAATGTCGAGTTTTGGTGTTTTTTTATTGGAAATATAAAAAAAACCTTAAATCATCCCATTTTTAAACGCTCACCCTCGCTTTAATTTTTGACAAAATTTCATGATTAAAGTGTCAAATTACTGGAAATTTTGTCAAGATTTCCA